AAAAATTTAGAATTAGCGGAGAACAGATGGGGAAATAAGGCTGTTCTTCATATATACTGGCTCAAAAGAACCAGTTACATGTCTGTAAGCCTCTACTGTCAACCAAAGTGCCATGCTTGTGATTAATAGCATTTTCAAAATGAAATTATTATTATTATTATTATTATTATTATTGTGTTATGGCTATTATTTTGTTATGATGATGATGATCCCTTCTTGCACTCTTCAATGTATTTTAGGGGACACCCAACACCAAATGGAAGCCAAGAAGTTCCATTCAGTCAGCAACTTGACCATCTACGCGTTCCCCCAGGGGTCTGTCATTTCTTGTGTGATACACCACAAAGCCCTAGGAAGAAGAAATTTAACTGCAACCTTGCACCTGGAACATGCCAGTAAGTGGACAGCTTGAGGGCAGGGTGGAACTTTTCTTTAAAAAATTAAGTGGATGAAGAAGATCCTCTTAGGAATTACACAGCCGTGGAAGCCTTGGTGTTCTCTGAGCTTGACTGTTTTCTTGAGACGTTTCAACAACACTCCCCCGTCACCAACACTGACGGGGCAAGCTACAACAGAGAACAAACCCCACTCCATTCTAGCCCTGAAGTTGTTACTTAGTTGGGCAATGAAATGTCTGCAAGAAAACCACCAAGCTCAGAGGACCCCAAGGACTCTACAGTTCAACCCCGAGTTACAGAGATTCTCTTCTATTAATTACACAACCGTGTTCATGTACAGTATGCCTTATGGGAAACTTTGCCAGCCATGACAACTTTTGCACTGTTGAAATGAGAGCTGAGGATGCCCCAGAATACCAGCCCATCCTTGTTGTAAATCAGCTTTTACATACCACAGTGACAAGCTTGCAGACATGCTAACCCCAATCAAATAACCAAACAGATGGCCTATTGCAAATTTCTTACCTTAATCAGCCGGAAACTTGAGGTACCTCCCACTCAGTTTCACCAGATGACCCAGATCTCGAAAAGACACTCCTTCACTTGAAGCATGGCTGTTACACATGAAAAGAAACCAGACATTCTGAATTAATGCATTCCTTTTTTCTTTCCCTGGGGACTGATTCCAGCTTTCGTTCCAACTACACTTGACTTCAGAGGGTGACGCTGTAAAACCCTCATTCTTACACAAGTATAATATATACCTCTACTATATTATATAATATATACCTCTAATAAATGATGCTAAGCAGCAGATGTTTAAAGCAAGTTTGCGCCCAGTAATTCAACCGTTCATTCAGTATCCAACATTTCCAGTTCTTTTATTTATTTATTTTTAATCAGAAGCTGCGCTGAGATGGAATAGAAGCAGGGAGGGGGTCAAAAAAGTCAAGAGGTAAAAAAGGGCAGGGCTTCAATCCCATTGTGGTGGGTGCCATCTTGACTTCCCTGAACAGAATTGAAAAGCTTTCAGTAATATGGAGTTTTTTCTTGCCTTGCTTCATCTCAGTTTAAGTAGCCTACAGAGAAACAGGAAAAAAAGCTTTAATTTTCTTCCTCTCTGACAATATTTGGAGTTATCAGCTGAGATTTCTGCTCAAAGTCCCACATGTACCACCACGAAGCTCTTCGTTGATAGTATATCAATACTGGAATACATTTTTTCTCAGAACATGAAGGGAATAATCTTTCTCTCTTCATTTCCACAGATTCAGATGAAATATTCAATACAACAAAAGGGAGTTTTAATACCCCGACAGCCAGCCTGACTCCAGAGGTAGCAACTCTGCAGACTAATTCCACCAACGGTGTGTTAAAAATAATTTAACAGGGCATCCAAAGCCGATTTTTAACTAATTTTCTATCAATAAGGTAACGCAAGCAGTGTATTTCACACTATCCAGTGTGATATCAATCAGACATTTTATAAAGGACAGAGAAAAGAAAAGTGATGGAAATTCAAGAGGTTCAGGTCCTGTTTTGATAATGGCGCTCGCTGGAAGGCTGGACCAGCTATTTTAGAAGGTTGTCACTGTGGGGATAAAATGAGGGCAGATTTTATGAAAGCCACCTTGAATTCACACAGAAAAATCCAGATACGTATGTATGTTGTTCTTGTTATTTCATGAAATTCACTGCTTGAGCTACTGAATTATGATGATGTTGATGATTCAAGATTTATTTCTGCATTTATTTGGGCATGTGTGTGGGTGTGTGCATGTGGGGAGCCGAATAAATTGAATTTATATATATATAATTTATTAATTTAATTTATATGGCCACCCACCTCTAACGTATGACTCTGGATGGCTAATAGAGAATAAAAACAAGATAAAAACATCCTTAAAAACATCATTAGAAACAATACACATGTATCTATTGAGAAATTTCCTGACTGCAAGCCGCCAACCCAGCAGAACAGGCTGCCACCTGAAGTCCTGAGTTTTCCCTCACTAGAGGTCTCCAAAGAAAGGCTGGATGGATGTTGGCCAGAGATGTTCCTGTAGATCTTGCCCTGAGCAGGAGATTAGACTAGGTGACCTCTAAGACCCGTCCAACTCTGTCATTCTGTACAAAGGCTTCCATCAGCCCTACCTAGTATAGACAATGGTCAAAGATGATGGAGTTGTAATCCAACATTATCTAGAAGGTCATATCTGGTCTAGATGGATGGTCTTCTAATCTAGTAGGACTCTTATGTTCTGACCTTTGTACATGACATGCTTGGGTATTAATAGCGTCCCTTGTTTCCTTTTCCACAAATTCAGAACAAAAACAAAATATAACAGAAGAAACCTTTAGCATTCCAACACTGTCCCCAACCAGGGAAGCAGCAACTCAGAGTTCTGATGCCACCAAGGGTAAGACCATGACACTGATTCTATTATTTCTGGGCATCACCTCAGCTTATGTCAAGCTATTCTCCATAACATCAGCTGCATTTCTCCTGGCTGCATTTCAATAACCCTGTTTTTCATCACTTCAACAGAATCCGGTACAATATTCAATGTAACAGAAGGAAACTCAACCACACAAACCCCATTCCCAAGTACGGATACAGAAGTTTGGGCAATAAATCGTAAGTTGCCACCAGATGACTCCTAATGTCCAACCGATATACTTTCAATATTCTATTCTCCTTCCTGATCTGATTCCCCAGGCTTGGTGACCCAGAATTTCCAACCAGCAGGGAGGGTTCAGGTTAAGGAAGATGATATAGGAATATAGCTAGTGACAGGGTCTAAAACTTATCTTACATCACACCTAGCTGTTCCTTTCCGAAAGAATTATAATCCTCCAGGGTCCACAGAATGACTGTTCTGAGTCTTCACTTAAAAGATATACCCTTTTTGTATTTCTCTATTCATCTTCCTGCAATTAACTGTGTTAAACTTATAAAAGTGTATGTGTGCATGGGATCCTTTATCTACTGCAATAAATAGGTTTATAAATACTCTTTCTTGCCTAGGTTTGCTCAGACGCTAAGCTATAAATCATAATAAATCACATTCTGGATGAGTTCATATTGTTCTCATTAATTGGCCATGCAGTTTTCAAATGGTGGGTGATATAGTCCAGAACCTTCTGGGAGATAGCAAGTTGGAGATGTGGTGTGGTGGACCCAGACATCTTTCTCCATGGAAGCTCAGCTGGTGGAGAAATACGATTTCCCGTCTCTCAAAAACCCAATATTTTGCTGCTAGGAAACAGGACCTAAAGACATCAAAACTCAAATGTTTTTCTTTTCCTTTTTTCCAAAACAGAAACAAACGTGACCTACAAAGGCTTTGTGGAGAGACAAACCCACGCTTTGTTCCCAGGCCTTGTGTCTATACTCCTTCTAGTCCTCTTTATCATGATCCTTCTGCTTGCTGTGAAGCTCTGGAAAGCACATAGGGACTGGAAAAAAGGTAACAGGGAAAAAGAATAGGTTAAGGCATATTTGGGATCGTTTAGTTGCACTTTCCTGAATTCATTTGGCAGATTTTAAAAAATCCAATAAGCTTGTTCACAAGGGCCAGTCAGATTTAAACCTGTATTAAAGCTCGGGGTACTATGATAGCATTAAGAAAAGGATTTCAGCTGAGAATTAGAATGCCTGGCTCAAGAACGCGTTGGAGGTAGGGCAGTCATTATACCCACTTCTCTGAGTGTAGGCCCCATTGAGGCTTCCTTCCAGGTAAGCATAGGACATTATGGGTACATGACCTAAATCTGCCCCATCACACAGATATGTAGACTAATCTTCTGCACCCCATTGTTGTCCTTCCATAATGCAGAAAATGATGCTTCTGATCAAACCATTGAGAGTTACAGGCCCAAGGCCAACGAAGCCCCTTGCAGACCGCAGATTAAATGTGGTAGGTATAAATGTGACTTCTTCACGTTTCCAGGCAGGGCAGAGACTGGAATTAAGAAAAGCAAGGGTGAATGTATGGGTGATTCCATTGCTGTTTTTACCAGCTGTTCTTTGCCTGAAATGTGATCTGGTATGGAAGGTAAAAAGAAATAAGCATGAAGTTGCAGTGACCTACACCTTTATTTTACGCAGAAATCCCTTGGAGGAACAGTAAGAAGTATATAATTCAAGAATCATATACCAAGACGCCAAAATCTTCAGATGAAAGTCAAGATTCCTCAGTCTTTGAAAAAGAATTTTTTCACATTAAAGAAACTGATATATAACACTATGGACAATACTGTGCTATATTTAATGGCAAGAACAATCTTCTCTTTCATTTTTTTTTTCCTGTGCTGCACCATTCTGCAAACATCTCTTCAAAACACCCAGACTTTTGAGAGGATTTCAGATGAGACCTCGATGCATCTCAGAACGATAATATTGTAAATAAAGGGACAACCAAGCTATAAATGCCCTTGAGAACTTGCAATTTTTGTCCATTGTTATTTAGCAGTTAAACCCCTAGTGATGACTACTTAATCATTTCAGGGTGTAGAAAGTTATTTTCCTATATTATTTCAAGAAATCCTTTCAACTTCTCTAAAAGGAAGATTGGAATGCTAGCCCCCATATTGCAAATCTCTTCGATTCTGCCCAACACTAGCCCACCCATTACAAGTATTCGTTTTCCAAATAGTTCATCCCAAAGGAACATGACCCTTGACTTAGTTTCTCACTCCTGCTGTACCAGTCTTCCCTAACCCACCACCTTCCAGCTACATTGGACTTCAGCTCCAGTAATTGGATAAGCTGGCTGGGAATATGGAAGGTTAAGTCCAACACACTTGGAAGTTCCCTCAACTTTAGCATCCTAAAGACTCATATCCACTAGTACATCCAAGCTGCAGGAATCAAGATGGCCACTAGGGGGCAGTGAGTTTGGGGGTGAAACCGCCCCCTAGTGGTCCCCTGGCGTTTTGCATGCTATCTTACCTTTTTTTTTTTTTTTTGTCTGCGCTCAGTCATTGCTGACCCTGCAGTGACTGCTTGGAC